TCTTTCCCTCCGTTCTCTTTCCACCTCCTCTTATTCCCACCTTGGACCTCCCTTTTTGTCCTCACCACCTTCTTCTCGACCCTTCTCTGAATCTCCACGGTAGCAGCCGCCCTCCCTGGGTCTGTGCATTGCTTTGTGGCGCTGTGCCTCAGTGACCCCCTCATCTCACTTTCCCCTCCCGGCTCAGCGCCTGGGGGCCTGGCCCTGGGGAAGGAAGGATGGTTCCCGAGGTAAGGGTCCTCTCCTCCTTGCTGGGACTCGCGCTGCTCTGGTTCCCCTTGGACTCCCACGCACGAGCCCGTAAGTAACGGGTGGGTGTGCTGGATAGCAGAAGAGGGATGGGAGACCCGGGATGCGCGGGAACGGGCCAGGACTTGGGACCCCAGACTGTTCTGACAGCCATCCAGGGAGCACCTGTACCGGGAGGGTGGAGACTTCTCTGCGGACCAGTATGGGCTCATGAGTCTGGGAGACTGGGGGGAACTTGGTAAGACTCACAGCCAAGGGGGCTGCAGCCACGGACCCGAGGAGGAGAGAACTGAGAGCAGTGGGAGAGAGGGCAGGGTGCTGTGCTTTTTGGGGGGGAGGGGCTATGCTTCTTCCTAGTAGAGAGTCTGGTATGTTTGGCTGCAAGGGTGTGATGAAGACGAAGAGGCTATTGCATTTGGAAAGAATGAAGAGCTAACTAGGAGAACTTTCCCATCGCTTTTCTCTTTTGATGCTCACAACACTCCCATGAGGTGGGTATTATCATTTGCATTTTACAGATGAGAAAACTTAGGCTGAGAGAAGAAACGCGCTCAAGTTTACAGAGGTAGTGAGCTATCCAAAGTCAGGACTCTCCAGTTCCAAATCCTATGCCTTTTTCCCCTGTGTCCCACAGCATGTGGAAGAAACCCTGATTTGGAGTTGCGAGACACTGGGAGGTAGCAGGGCACAGTGAGATAGACCAGGGTCTTCACTACCCCAGGTCTGTTGAATACCAGCTGGTAGGAGGGAGGCATGGAGGGGATGTCTCAGAGCCTCAGTTTGCTAATCTATAAAATGGGAGTGAAAAATCCTAGGACTGTTCTGAGGATTAAATTCAAGAAAACATGGAAAGCAACCAGCACCAGCAACTAGCTGGTCCATGGTAGGTTCTTGAAAAACATGTTCCCTAATTCATGCTTTTCCACTTAGACACAGCGTAACCGCAAACAGTTTATATAATCTCTCTGAACCTCAGTTTCCTCACTGTTTCCACAATAGGCTGGTGGACCTCCTCCCCATCTTCTGCCAATCTCTTGGAACACTGTGAGGATGGAAAACAAAACCAAAGATTCTCTTAAAAAGAAGGAAGGAGCTTAGTTCAAACCCTGGCATACCCAATAAAGAAACCAAGGCCCAGGGCAGTGGTCTGCTCTAGGTTACACAGGGCGGAGCCTAGGATGAAACCCCAGTTTCCCAGCCTAGAGCTCTTTCCTCTCCACAGCTCAGCTCCCCCATCTCTGCCTTCTTTTGCAAGTGACTTTCTGGAGCCAGCAGTGCTGGATTTTGTTTCATTCTTGTCTCTGATCATGAGGGCAGGCTGCATGTCTGGTCGTCTCTGGGCTGCCAGCAGCATGAGACTCATAGAAGTCCTTAGTAACAAGTCCTGAAAAGAGCCCAGGGTTGGTTCAAGTCCTGGCTCTGCCTCTTAGTAGCTGTGTGACTTTTCATAAGTGACAACTTCTCTGAGCCTCAAATTCTGCATCTGTCTAAGACCCATACTCACCTGGAACCTGAACACTTCATGGGAGGATTAAAGGAGGTGACTGTGTTAAAGTGCCCAGCACAATGCCTACTACTCAATCAATGTCTCCTCCCCCTCCTGGAGCCCTGGATGTTTCCTCCTAGTATCTTCCTGTTGTTTCTTAAAAGAGACTTAGCACAGGATGCCCTCCATGCCTGCCTCCCTTCCACTTGGCACATGGCTCTTAACCCCCAAGGCTTTTCTCCAAATTTCGTTGCCCTGGTTGTGTCTTAGAAAGATGTCCTAGAGTCAGATCTTTTTGCAGATTGCTCATGTCCTACCCACACCTCTCCTTCTTGCCTCCCACAGTTTGTCAGCCCTCTACAGCCTTGCTTAGGTCACACTTCTTCCAGCAAACTCTCCCTGCCACCTGATGCACTCTGATCTCCCCTCCTTTGTGCCTCCACTGGCCTTTGGGCCATGTTTCTCACTAGGTGCTGCCAGCATTCCATCTCCCCTAGTCTGGAGCCTAGTTCCCGACGTGCAAGAAAAACCTCAGAGCAGAACTGTTGAGTTAATGTGAGGTGGACCGGTAGTCAGAGGGGTGTAAGATTCTGGGATGTCAAAGCCAGAAGAACCTTTGAAAATCTTCTACCCCTCAATGTACCAATCCTTAAACTGAAGCCCAGAAAGGGGGAGTGACTTGCCCAAAGTCACACAGCAAATTTATTAAAGCAAAGAACAGAGACCTGGATCCTAGTCCCCGATTTGTCACTTACTGGTTGTGTGAATTAGGACAAATCACTTTCCTTCTCTGAGCCTCATTCTGTGTAGTGCTAACAACCTATGAATCTAGAAACAATCCTATAGTCATTTGCCAAGGTCTTATTTGAAGATCTCCTATGAAGACCCTCATCTTAGTTTAGTAAGTTTAGTTAGTAAGATCTCGGGCCTGTTATAGATATGAAATCTCCTGGTGGCATCTTAGGTGCTTTCAGAAGTGATACCGACAGATGGAAATTCTCAAGCCCGTGTGGTGTCTGACTCCTGAGGTGGCCCAGTCCTGCAGAATGCCTAGGTCCTGTGAACACACGTGGCAGCTTGCTCCTTATTTAAAGCACAAGGGTATTCAAACAAAGGTTATTCTATCCTTGGCTCTATTTCCAGCCACAGATTGAGCCTTGATCCTAGCCCAAACTGAATCTCAACTCCAGCCACAGGCTGAGGCCTAATCCTCAAACACTACCATACATCAAACCCCTATTCCATTCCCAGCTAGAGCCCTTAGCCAAGGTGGGGTCCCTGACCTGGTCACCGACCAGTACTATTGCCAGTCCCAGGCTGAGCCGCATGCGTACATGATGTCAGTCGCTTTGGGCACCCATCCCTCCCTTCTGTCTGTCTGCCTAGTACCTTGACTCCCTTGCCAGTACTCTTCCTCCTATGTCAGCTCCTCTTCCTTGTGCTCTTTCCTTACTAATTGTGCCCTCCACACCCCCCTTTAAGGTGTCCAGCACACTTCTGCTTTCTCATCTCTCCCTCCAACCAATCCTGATTTCAGGAGAGAGTCAGTTATCAGGTAAAAACATCGGCTCCTCTATTCTATCTCCAAGGGTTATATATACTATGGGAATCAAAGTTTTTGTTCCCAGGTGACAAAATCCCAGACCCCATAGGCAGAGATGGGGCGGGAAGGGAGCTCCCATGGTATGATATGGTACAGAGGGCAAACTTGGAATCAGAAAGTCAGGGCTCCAGCCCTGGCTCTGCCACCAATTCCAACTGTGACCCAGGGCAAGTTGCCTTTCTCTGCCCCTGAGATTTCCCCAGCTGTAAAGTGAGATGGTTGGAGTCAAATAGATAATCATTGAGGACCATTCCAACTTTAACATCCCACGAATCTAAGACTCTAAGACCCAAAGATGCTGTTGCCTTGGTTCTGAGTCTGCTCTGACCTTTGGAAAAGGGAGTTGGGAGAGTGTGGGTCTTCAGCCTGGTACTCCTGCCCTGCCAGGGAGGAGTGGATAGACAGACTGATTCTCAGACACCAAGAGAAAGTGCCTACAGGGCCTGGCACAGTGAGTACAGAGGGCTGACATCTGGCTCCAGTCAGGCCCCTCTCTGGGTCTGTCTAGGAGGTTCTGCACCTCCTCTCTCCCACCAGTAGAGGTCTCTGTCTCACTCACTGGCTTGCAGGCTGCGGAGCCGAGCAGGGCAGCAGCTGTGCAGTTGCTCCAGCTGTTGCACCTGTTCCAGGACTGGCCTCTCAAGTTCCCCCAGCCACTGGCCACGGTGCCAGGCTCTGGGAGAGGGACCCTGAATCCCTTGGACTCCCAAAGAAGAGGACTGGCATGGGAGCAGTGCTGCTGGGAGGTGCAATGCAGAGATCATTGCAGGCATCCCCCTGCCTCTGGGCAGGATCCCATCCCAGAGAAGCCTGTTCCACACTCTTCTGTTGCAGTCAGGATTCTTCCTTGTGTCTCAGCTAAATCCTTTTGTTTGCAATTTAAAGCCATTTCTTCTGATCCTGTCCCTTAGGGTATGGGTTTTCCTATAATCAGCCTCCACCTACCCAGATCTGAAGACTGGCATTGGAGTTCATGCTGGCAAAAATCAATGACCTTAGACAAGTCCCAATCCCTTTCTGGGACTCAGTGTCCACATCTGTAAAATAGGGGATTGGACATCATCTCTCAATCCCTAACTTTCTAAGATTCCGTAAATCTATAAATCTATCTATAAATCTATAGATAAAAATCTATAAATGTAAATCTATAAATGTATATGTCCAAGGCAGAATGGAATGTAAATAGGGTCTTCTATGCCCCCTGACCTTTGCCAGGCAACAGAGCTGCCTTTCCTGGTTTGATGACTCTCTCCTTTGAGGTCCTTCTGTGCTCCTGAACATCTGCCATGTGCCAGATAGGAATTCAGCTTCAGGGAAGTGAGGGCCCTTTCCCTAGGTTGCACAGCTCAGCCACTGAGGAGTGAGGTTTTTACTTCTGATTCCCTTAGGACACCTCCCCCATCGAGTGCCAGTGCGCAGAGCAGAGCTTATGTCTCAGAGGGGAGCAAGTTTGTTTGTGTGAAAAGGGAGCTATACATAAATAGAGTATGGCTGATTGGGCACGAGGGAAAAGATGTGAACGTTCTCACATTCCCTCGCAGCCTGGCTCTCTCTAAGGTTTTTCCTGAGTTCTCTCAGGCTGGGGACAGGCCAGCCACAGTTCCAGCCCCAGCTCCACCTGGTGCCGTTTTCGTGGTCTTATCCAGCCTCTCCTGCAGCCCAGAAGTTTCTTTCTTGTCTTTTCTGTCTCTTTTTGGAAGAATTCCTAGCCACACTACCCACTCCTGACTACTCCATAAAAGACCTTTATCATAGCATGAGGGTTTCAAGGCAGAATGTGCATTGACCTTGGATGGGGCAGTTTGGGAATTTTGACTTACACGTGAAGATCATGGAATCGCTCAGCCGCATACCTCCCCAGGCTCCTGGCCTTTTTGTACATGGTGTTTGGTTTGGTGGGTAATTTGGGAGTTCAGATGATGGGAGATGGAAAGGGGAGGTCAAAGGCTAATTCCCATTAGG